TCAGGTAGGCGCAGTCCCCGAGTTTCCGTCAACCTTATGTCCCACTTGAAACTAAATTGGACTGAGTTCAAGTAGAACATAAGGTTGACGGAAACCCGGGGACTGCGTCTACCTGATGAGCCCCAACAAGGGCGAAACCGGTCGTGGGCTGTCGAAGAGTTTTCAGCAACCTTGTGAGTAATTTCCTTTATGAGAAAATATACTGCGATATCTCGAATACCGTGCCATCTGAGTCATGAGGCGACCTGTGTGCATCACATTCAGTTGTAGAATATCATAAACGAGAGATTCAGTTGAGTCTCCCGTGAAAATGAAATGTTTCACCATAGTTGCGGAAGCCTTAGACTCCACACAGAATTAAGGGTTAGAGCCCATCGACCAAGCAAGGAGTAACAACGAGACGAATGACTTCTCCTGAACTTGGTTCGGTAAGCCACCCCCTCAAACTGAAAACAGTATTCTAGGGTTTAGATACTAATGTATTTCGGACCGGTAAAGCAGAAAAGAACGAAATGGCGTAGTGGATTTTTGACAGCATGCCACAGACTCACTTGGCTTGACTCCTCCAGTGTCACTTTTCCCATTGATAGTGGACCGAGTACGAGGGGCGAGGCTTGAACTTCCCCCACCAGACGGCACTATCAGAGACAGATGATCGATTTCATGCTGGCTGACAAAGTTCTCCTCCTCACGTTTGAATTTCTGCACAAGCACAAAAAGGCGAAACGAGGATCTGAGTAGTCATCAGTCCGAAATCGCAGTACTACTCATCGTGTTATCGATTGAGTGAGCGTCTATTTCCTTGCGAGAGAGTAAACGGCCTTGCAAGAGATTCTTAACACGAAACTAGCCACAATCTGGGTAGATACCATCGATATATCATGAAAAGAATTGGTCTTCTAACAAACTGATTGAATAGTGTTCAGATGTGCATCGCAACTTCACATCAGTTCGCCTCTGATTGGTTACGTTGTGAGCGTTTGTCATCATCGAGTACTGGGTGTGCTGAGAAGTGTCTGGGAGTGACAGTACGCCTACGCTTCAGTGAACTTTACTCAACAATGCGTCTGATTTAGCATCAAAAGCATGCTTAAGTACATTCATTCGTTGCCTCTCTGAACGGTGTCACGCGTGCTGCGATTAACGAAGCTGTCTAGAAAGATTCCATTTCGCATTTTATCTCCCGTTTCTGTCTTATTGAGATAGATAAACAGAAAACAATGTTTTAGGTCTATGATCAACATGAATGGCACACGGATGAACCAATTTAAGCCATCTGTGAAGAGGTTTTACACATACTCAAGTGCTTTTTGGCTTTGTGCACTGAGTGTATTACTTATATTTGGCTGTGAAGAAATGCCCGGCCCGATTAACGGTCCAAATTATGGCCTGGTTATATCGATACGATGCCGCAGTGACTGAGCATTTTCCACTTTTCCTCATGTTCGCTACTATACTGTGAGCCGAAAGTAATCGACCGGAAGGTTCGTGGTTCGAATCCAACCTCTGCATCTCGACTACTCTCGTCTAGGCTTGGACACGCCGTGCATGGCAGCTACGCAGCGGAAGGGTGCATTTATAACTCGTACGGTGTGCTACACCCGGTATTTTCATGCGGAACAGTTCAACCACAATGGTTCTATTAGCGTGAACTTTGTTCTGGGTGTCCTGGTTTCCCCTTGCGTCCAAGTTGATCATTGATATTCATCGAGAAATCATCACACTTGTTCGTTCTGTTTCAGTCACCGAAAAAAAGATGACTCAGTTCCCCGCAGTTTCCACGTACTTCCAAAGTTTTCAGAACCCACATCTTGACGGCCCGGTAGACTGCCACTGAACATTTTTAGTCTGCTGTATTACGCTGTAACCAATGGTCGATAATAACAATCGTTCAGCTGTAGCACCCTTTCGGTGCCTAGGTGCCATGCCACATGAAGGAGACACGAGGGCTGAGATACTGCCAGGTTGCCCAAGCCTAGACAGGGGAAGTCGAGAGGCAGAGGTCGGGTTCGAACCTTCCGGTCAGTAAATTCGCGCTCTAACCATCTGGTCCATCTCGCCTCAAAAGGAGGAACGGCCGCAACACCCGGTATTCCTAGCCGGTCACCCAGGCAAGTACTAATGGGGCGCAACGTTGCTCAATTTCGGTGATCAGACGAGAACCGGTGTTTCCAACGTGGTATGGTCGCGGTTTCCTCCGGGCAGCATGTCAGCTAAGCACGGGAAGGGTGTTACGGCCGAGCGAACTGTAAACAATGTTAGTGATGAGATCAGTTATACGACCAGTGTGCGACCGAAGCAAGACGCGCTTCCTGTTATTCGGTATGACTGTTTCGCTTTGTCATCTGTGACCCTCATCATAAGCTGACGATATAGTGCACAGAAAAGTCGAAAGTAACGTGATCCGATCAGCTCAGTTATGGGACGGGACGGATAAGGCGGGATACCTCGTCCTGGAGGTTGAAGACATGTCATTCACAACGAACTGAAGTTGAGCTTTAACTAGTCACTCATGCAAGATGGTTGAGACAACGTTCAATGGAGACAACAAGGTCGCGGGATAAATTTCTTTCCATCACTCTATCGCAAAATGTATCAGCGCTGAAACAAAATGGACACAACGTCTGCATCCCTTACATAAACGTGACAGACAAACGATGCTCAGAAAAGTTGAGAAGCAACTCAACAGAGTGGTGTTAGGTTCCATCGCACGCAAGTCCTGGAAAAACATATATTGACAAATAGTAAAAAGCGCTCACTTACCGTGGCTTTCGCCCAGATCAGGAACATACGCGCGACCGCTGTGAATAGGCGTTGCGTTTCCTGCGTCGGATGCTTGAGCCAAGCAGATCGATGACGATCGACAAATTTGATTAGAAGTGGGTAGAATGCAAACAAATTCCGTACCAACACTTCCACCAGGCCGCTCAACTCTTCCTCGCGTTCACTCGCCGTTTCCAAGCCTAGAAAAGAATCAAACGAAAATTTAGGGAGAAAAGCGACGAGGACTGGAAACCCGGTCAAAATATAATCCGGTTTGTACCGCTAACAGAAACTGGAAACATCAACATCGATTTTACATATTTTCTCCTAGTCCGCTTTCATGTTGTTTAGCCGCGTGTACGGCGAAGATTTTCGATTGGGAGACACCGGGCTCGGTCGGATTGGTTGCCCTGTTGTTTGAGCACTCCGAACGGGAAATGACTGCAGATAGACAAAGAATTTCCAGTTGGTGCAACGTCTGTGTGTCCAAAAATGCCGCAAATCCATGCACTGGGAGTTGGTCAGGTGGCTCTTGGTCTGTTAGGTCTACGAGTGCCAAAAAACTGGAAATCACGTCACGTGCAAACTTTGTCCGCTACGTTATTTGTGTGAATAACCCTCAAGCTATCCCCAAACAGATCAGTAAACCCTCAGAACAACTTTGACGCCCATAAGATAATCAGATGTGGACAAACTGCGTCACGATCGTTATCAGCACACTCAGGAATAGTCATACAAGCGACTTGTTTCGAAGTCTTAAAGCAGAGGAATGGAGTTATCGAATATGCCAGTCGTGTCCTGACTAACGCTGAACAGAAGTACTCGACCATTGAGAAAGAAAGTTTAGCGACCGTCTGGGTCCTGGATAAGTGGAGGCCATATCTGCTTGAACAAAGATTGCATGTCGAAACCGATCACAAACCCCTGGAGTGGATCAGGACCACGAGAGATCCTCGCGGAAAGCTCGCACGCTGGGCACTCCGGTTGCAAGAATACGACTTCACAATCCAGCACGTGCCCGGGAAGGAGAACCACTTGGCTGACTGGCTGTCAAGACCAGAGGCTGAAGAAGATGAGGTCCCCAGGATCATGATTGGGGTCAAGAGCCTCGTCGCCGAACTGGATCCCCAAAGGTTGGTGCAACTCCAACGGCAGGATCCTGTGTTACGGAATGTTCCAGCCGCCTTGTTGGACGGAAGGAGCGTTGAGAACGGAGAGAGAGACAAGGAATTGGGGACGTTCCAGAGTCACTTTGATCGGCTGAGGTTGAAGAACAAACCTAGCACACATCTGGACCGTTGGATAGGTCAGCACCCCCACAGCGCTTGTGAGTAGGCAAGCTGCATGAATGATGCTGCATGAGCCACAGGAATGCGCCAAAATAATGGAAGAAGAATCGTGGAGCCGGGTGAACATGTACAAAACCGGGAAAGCAGTCTGACTGTGTAGTACTCACCTGCTCGCTTCTCTGATTTAAACAGCTCTTCCACCTTCTCAACAATTAGCGCGTGTTCCAGAAGCCGTTCGGAAACGGGAAGAAAGTATTGGCCAAGCATGTCCGCAGTGGAATTGGCGACGATTGGTTGAGTACGTGCTGAGTGGTTGGAGGGATAGAAGTAAAGAAGGATAGCAGAAAACAATATCTGAGGAAAGGCTTCTCTACTGAAGCCAAAATAAGCGACCGTCAATTACGCAGTCTTAACAAATCGAATGCAATGACAGGGGAGTTACTCTGGTACACTGATGTGTGGTGCCTGTATGGCATTCCAAAAGCACAAGACTGAAGCAAGATAGTCAAAATGTCGATTTCCGTCGAAGCCCTAAAGAGATTTTTGTTTGTGTACCGAACGACCCCGAATGACACTTTGGCGAACCACCAATCACCTGCAGAGGGGCTCATGGGCCGTAAACTGAGAAGTATGCATTCTTCCATGTTGCCAACACAATCTACTGAGTCAAGGTCCATATCGGTGGCAGCTGGAACTCTATTCAACGTGGGAACGCCCGTACTTGTCCGTGACTATCGTAAACGCGGTAGTGTGATGTACGATGTGTCAGCTGGTCAAGACACCTGGACCAGACATCAAAACCAACTCCGCTTTAACAGCACGCCGGAAACTCAAGTATGTTCGGGTACCGTACCGTTGGACATATTGCTCGATCCTTGTGAGCTGAGAACTGGGACAGCTTCGAAAGAAGAGAGTGTGACTAGCAGCTCAGTATTTGATTCAGTACTTCTCTCCAGGCGGTGGACAGATCGACACCGCCGCCAGCCGGAACGTATCCAGGTCGACTCTCGTCGGGTATGCTACTGACTTTTTCACAAGGGGAGGTGTTGGGGGTGTCAATATCCCCGAAAACTCCGTATCTTTGTGTGTGCTAACGAACTTCCGGCACTTTTCAAGGTCAAACCATGGATATATATATGCATCGTCATTTTTCCGGGATTCGCCTGTTGATCGCGTGTTGTTTGAATCATTAATGTTGCGTCTGAGGTTTTTCGTCTTCTTACTATTCGCCGTGCTAGGAGTCTGGATCAAGCAACCTAGTTGGGGATAGAATATTGTCACAGTCCGCATATCTTATTGTTTGCCCACCGCGTAGTCGAACCGTAACACTAACATGATGCAGGTAAGGGCACACTTTGACGCGACAAGCCTAGTGGTCACCATTGGACCAACCTCAACCCTTCCTTCCTCGGTTGAAATTGGCTTGACAACACTCTAACAGTTTCCGCAAGCGGTCTTTGAGAACCTAATCCCAACTACCGATCTAGTTGTCAAGTATAGAGTGTTTCACAACCAAACAGGTTGGCAGAATCCTAAGCATTTGAGTAGAAACACTGAGCTGCCTCCCCCCGTTGTTTTGTTGTCTGTGAGAACAACTAACATTGAGTAACGGTCAAACTTCCGAAATAAAGTTATGGCAAAGTCGCAGAGGTCAGTGATTTATCTAGTTCTTACATTCAAATTCTTTGTTAAGAGTGGAATATCTTACATCTATTCTCTCATCGGTTCTCACCTTGACTTAATTAACCCAACTTTGCTGCGACCAGAACCGTTGTTTGCGTGCATGCAATTTAAAACAGTGGCGTCCCCGAAAAAGGTCACTCATGAAGAGCAACCCAACTGGTCTTCGTTGAGTGGACCCCCTTTACCGACCATACGATCAAAAAGTAATGTACGTACTTCAATTTCTTGTGGTAACTCCATGATACGTCGTGGCCAATGTGATGATATTACGATCCCCTCTTACATCGCTTGTGATTTACCAA